CAAACAGTTTTCAATAAATGTGTATACCTATGTGCATATGTATACATGTGTATGTTTATGTGTACATATGTGTACATGTTTGTAATATACATATATACATTTATATTATAATTCCAAATGTCTTTAAATCCATAATTATTAAGAGAAAAGTCATGGCCCATAAACTTTTATGCATCCATCATTGTCAAGAGTCATTTATATGGAATAGTTCAATTCTGAAATGATTATAGAGATTAGAGGCAGTATTTTTTTTTGTTTGTTAGTCTCTATAGAGAACACGCATAATAAGGAAAAGTTATACAGATGTAGACATATATAAAGTCGCTGGAATTACAAGAAGTTTCTAAGTATCAAGGAACATAAAAGAACTTAGAAATAGAAGCGCTAAGTTCAACTGTAGCTCTATTACTTGACAGCTATGTGACTTCGGCCAGCCCTCCCACCTCTGAGTCAACTGTCTTCTAGATAAAATGAGCACACCCCCACAACAGTGTTGTGTGAATTACAAAATATATTGTATGTGAAAATATTTTGTAAACCAGACACAGCCAATCAAAAATAAGAGGTTAAATAACAGATACTGATGTGGAAGAATTTTAGGCATAAGAAAGACTTGTCTCCTCTTACAGCTATCCCAGTCAGTGTTCCTACAGCCTGAAATCCAATTCGACAGGGGTCCTATTGGAAGAAGGGGAGCCAATTCCGAACTGTAGAGACTGTTAGAGCCATTACAGGATTTTATGCCTGGTCCCTGCCCTAGATGCCAGCAGTGTCTCCCACCACTACCACAAAACCAAGTATATCCCAATATGCATTACTGTAGGTTTAATTTAAGGTATAAATGTAATTAGGAAAACATACACATTGAGCCTCTGGTCTTTTTACTGCCATGTAAATAAATGAACAAGAATATTCTTCTGAGAGCCCACAGAGATAATATGAAAAGTTCTAGGCACTTTTGTCTTGTAACATGTCATAGAACCATAGAACCTAGGTCACGGAACCATGACCCAGGCCATCTCTCCCAGAATCATTAAACATATATCCCCCTTTGTCCAGTCCTGCTCAGGAGTAAGGAAAGAAGCAAAGACTATTAAAAAGTGAAGAGAAAAATATGACTGTGAGCCACAAGTTGTGATGATTTCTGAGCAAAGTTAGGCACCTACAAGATTTTATAGTACAGTCCAAATTTTAGAGTAGTACAGTCCAGATTCAAATGTCAGTCTTAACAAATTTTCCTGAGACAAATCTACATTTACAAAAGTAAGGCATTTCCCAACTCCTGTTCAAAGATACTAAAGCATATAGATAAGACACGGAGTGGTCAATAGGATTAAGATAATGGCACTTCTGAAAAGAAAGTACAACTGTCCCTCGCCACTTCCTGGCTTCACTCTATTGTGGTTTTGGGGACAACTGCATATAAATAAAGAATCCTACTTCGCAGAAATTCATTTATCGTGGTAGAGTCTGGAACTGATTAACCGCGATAAACGAGGGCCGACTATGTAGGTAGTCACTAGGTCTCCTCCTTTACTCAGAAACAAAACAGCAAAATGGATTTAAGATGTCCCTTGATTGATGGGATTCAAAAATCAGAAAGACCCAATGAAAACTGTTAAGGATACTAAAAATGAGATCATCAAAAGAACAGTGCCTCATCTCGGTTGGTCAAGTCTGATCACCAAGTATTTAAAATCCAAAGGCTGGTCTATATTGGGAAGTCCCTTTTGAGCCCACAAATAACATTTTGTAAGAGAGAAGATTCAAAACTCCCTCTTCACCCTGCTCAGTTTACCGGGAGGATTTGTGACCTGGAGGATCTGACATTACTGGCCATCTACATGTGGCTGAAATCCTTTCCTCCAGTTTTTGTGATATATTGCATTCTCTGGGGCTCCTCCTGCTTTAGGCGGGCTGTTCCCTTCTTCCTTCCAACATCAATTCTTTCCTGAAGATAATGTCTCTTTGCTCTTCTTTCTCCAAACTCATCTCACTTTGAATTATTCACTCTTACAGTAAGAATTATCAGTAAGTTAATGGCCTTCAAATCCACATTTACAGCCCTATCCTCCAGCCAATGATCTACTCCCAGTTTCAGTCTGAAAATATTTGGGGGGATGGCAAACAACTGATAATTTTTCTTCTTTTCTGCCATGTTGCCATTATATGACTCCCATGCTAAAAACAATTACTCTTTACTATTTTATGTAGACTACTCAAAAAACAAAACCTGGTTATGGTATCATTTTAACTGAGAGCTGGAAGCTTCAGTGTGATTATGTTTCCTGATTTGTCTCCCTGCTTCTATTAAATCAGTGATTAAAAAAAAAAAAAGTTAAGGCATGTAATTTCTCTCAAGGCATTGTAATTTATTCTATTAGAAGTACAGTCTACACAAAGTTATATAGCTTCTCTCATATAAATACTAACTCAGGAGACAGGAATTCTGGGTAGTTGAGGCAATGAGGTTATGTAAATCTAAAATTCTAAGTGTATCCTCACACAAACCAATACAGAACAACAAAAAGAACAATTAAAACTACACAAAACACAGGCCTTCAACACACCCAAACTTCTAATTACATGTAAAAAGAAAAACAAAAACAAAATAGTAGCGAGTTATTTCCCATGTTCAGCTACAAGCCTCTGTGGACAGTGAGGGTAGTTTAGGAAAAACTGAACTAAACAGAGAGAAGCACAGACACATAAAGTTTTCATCTATTAAAAAATAAAAAACTACTAAAAAATAAAATGGATACAATAATTCAAACAATTTACCTGAGAAAAGATTCACTTCAAGAAAAAAAGAGTAGTCCTGGCCGGTTTGGCTCAGCGGTTAGAGCGTCGGCCTGCGTGCGGTCCAGAAAGACCCGGGTTCGGTTTCCGCTAAGGGCACGTACCTCGGTTGCAGTTTGTCCCCGGCCCTGGCTGGGTCGTGCGGGTGGCAACCACTCGATGTGTCCCTTTCATGTCGATGTTTCTCTCTCTCTCTCCCTCCCACTCTATCTGAACAAAATGTCAAAAAAAAAAAAAAAAACTAATAAAAAAAAAGAAAAAAAGAGTAAACTAGAAGAAAACTAGAATATAACATTCTAACCTAAATTAAACCAGCATTTGCGGACATAAAAAAAAATCCTTAATCAATGTGGTATAAGAATGGATTTCAACTTTGTCCCTGGTTCCTGGTACAGGGCTCCTAAAACCCTTGGAATATGCTGAATGACAGAAGAGCCTTTTGTTATTTATAAGGAGCCCCCTTTGAGTATACCAGAGTTTATGCTAATGAGGCAATTTAGGATGGAGCCCCTACATAACCTCAAGATGGGGCTGGTCACCAGAAAGACCAAAGGATTAGAAGGTTGGATTTCTCAACCCCAACCACTAATCTCCAGGTAAGGGGGTAAGGGCTGAAAATTAAACTATATTAAAAACTCTTGAACAATAAGATTTGATAAGCTTCGAGGTTGGTGAACACATCCATGTACTGGGAGGGTGGTTCACTCCAGTTCCATGGGGACAGAAGCTCCTGCACTTGGGGCCTTTACTGACCTCTGCCTATGTACTTCATCTATCTATCTTTATCCTTTATAACATCTTTTAAAATAAACTGGTAAACGTAAAAACCATTCTAAAAAATTATCAAATCTGAGGAGGGAACCTCCAACATACAATTGGCATCTGAAGTGGGGCAGTCTTGTGGAATTAAGCAATTAACCTGTAGGATCTCATTTTATCTCCAGGTAGATAGAGTAAATTTGCAGGATACCCAGTTGGTGTCTGCTGAGAACTGGAAAATTGCTTGGTATGGGAAAAATCTCACACACATCTGTTCTCAGAAATACTGACAGTAGAGGAGAAAAATAGAGTTTTCCCCTTACTATCAGGAATTCAAAAACAAAGAAAAGAAGTGGACAAAAACAGAATTAAGTGAAATAGAGCTGAATGAACGCAAAAAAGAAATAGAAAAAAAAAGAGGCAAAATCATGTCAGAAATGAAGACAAAATTACATGCTGCCCAAAGAATACATTTACATGAAAACCTAATAATGGCACCAAAGACATCAGAAAAACAACTAAGAGAATAAAAATGAGATTAAAAAATCTTTTTAAATATCAGAGAAAAAGCATTTGATACAGAAGACAGGTAAAGGAGAGTCAATTATGTATAATTAGAGTCCCTGTAAAAGATGAAACAATGGATCAGAACTAATATTTCAAATTATAATCCAAAAAAACTTTCTGGAAATAAAAGACCTGAAGCTACCTTATTTAAAGAACCCACTGCATTCCTTAACCTGCAGCATGCAAATGGAACTGTAATAATCAGACTCCCCAGGAAAAGGATCAAATAACTTACAAGGACAACAGCATTAACTGCCATGGAAATTCTCAAAAACAGCATAAGACAACGTGAAAATAAGGTAACATTTCAAAAAGCTGCAGGAAAGAAATGTAAATTTAGGAGTTTGTGTTCAGTTAAACTTCAAGTATCAAGGATATAAGAGAAACTGTTTTAAATATACAAGAGTTCCTAATCATCAGCCCTTCTTGAGGAATCTACTAGAAGAAAAATTCAGCAAACCAAGAAATGATGGGAAAATTTCAGAAAAAAACCTTGATAAGCATTTAATATATTTAGCTATATATCTAAAAGCAAAAACAACGGTGGAAATAAGAGTCAAAGAATAATATATCATATGACAGTGCTATATGTTACATGCTGCATGTTCTGACAAAGTATAAATAAAACAATTCAGAATTTGATGGAGAAGGGAGAGGAGAATAAGGCAAAGTAGAGTAAGTACAATGGTTACATACGCAATCAATACAGGTTAAAATAAATACCATCGGAAACTCACAAACCGGTGGCAAATTTTCAAATATGCCCAGGTCACATTTTTTCATATTAGTAAGATAAATACATTATCTTCCTAAAATTGCACAGAAGCAAATGCTTCTTGGTATTTCGCAATTAAACTTATCAAAAACTACTGTACCTTACAGTAAAGTCATAGGAGCAAGAAGCCAGTACAGAAGCATGAAATGGTGAAAACTACAAAACAAAACAAGAAAATTTCTGAAGTTAGCTGTGATTATAACATGCTGTTTCTTGTGGTTATTTCCATGAACATTATGATAAATTAAAGTCTAGTCAGGGTTGTCACTAATAATTATGCTTTCCCAAACCTTATATGCTTTAACTCAAGGCAAAAATATTTTAGCCTTTTACATATTATCTACAGAAAAAACATTTATTTTTTACATTGCCCAATGAAAGTCATCACTCAAGCTTTTTAGAGCTTATTTAGAATAAAATAATCCCAAAGTGTGGCTATTTTAGAAAAACTAAATATAATTTCATGTTAGCTATCTAAAAACGACTCCTAGAAATATAGGAGATTTAAGTATGTGACAGTACTACTATGAATTCATTATACCTTTAAAACTTTATGAATATATATTATGATTGCTATAAGCACAAGTATCAAATAAACATTTAAATGTTAAATAAAATATCTTTAATATATCATAGTTAATGAGAAATGATATGAAGGACAAAATTTGAAAATTTAAAGACAGTATCTTTTAGATAAGAAATAACACACTTTCATAAGCTGCCCTTTGCAATTATATTCTTTGTTTTTATTAATTTATTTTTGTTACATGTTTCTCCTTTTTCCCCACTGGCACCCTCCTTCCCATCCCCCCCCCCACACACCGTTCCCAGCTTTGTTGTCCATGTCCATCAGTTATGGGTACATGCATATAAGTTCTGTGGTTTATTCTTCCCTCCCCCCAACCACCTCTTCTGAGGGTTGTCAGTCTGTATCCTACTTCCGTGTTTCTGGGTCTACCCTGTTCCTCAGACTGTTATGTTCATTATATTCCATAAATAAGTGAGATCATGTGATTTGGATAATACTATCTAGGTCTCTCCACATCGTCTCAAAGGGTAAGAGATCTTTCTTTCCTACAGCTACATAGTACTCCATTGTGTATATGTACTACAACTTTTTGATCCATTTGTCTACTGATGGACACTTGGGCTGTTTTCAGATCTTAGCTATTGTAAACAGTGCTGCTACGAACATGGGGGTACATATATTCTTTCTGATTGGTGTTTCAGGCTTCTTAGGGTATGTTCCTAGAAGTGGGATCACTGGGTCAAATGGCAATTCAATTTTAAATTTTTTGAGGTAACACCACAGTGTTTTCCACAGTGACTGCATCAGTCTGCATTCCCACCAGTAGTGTACTAGAGTCCCCTTTTCTCCACACCCTCGCCAACACTTGTTTGATGATTTGTTGATGGTGGCCATTCTGACAGGTGTGAGGTGATATCTCATTGTTGTTTTAACTTGCGTCTCTCTGATGATTAGTGATGTTGAGCATTTTTTCATGTCTCTTAGCCATTTGTATGTCCTATTTGGAGAGGTGTCTATTTAGTTCCTCTGCCCATTTTTTAATTGGGTTGTCTTCCTTTTGTTGAGTTGTATGAGCACTCTATACATTTTGGAAATTAACCCCTTATCTGATGTATCATTGGCAATTATGCTCTCCCATAGGGTGGGTTGCCTTTCCATTTTGATGGCTGTTTCTTTTACTGTGTAGAAGCTTTTTAGTTTGATGCAGTTCCATGTGTTCATTTTTTCCTTTGTTTCTATTGCCTTAGGTGATGTATCAGTGAAAATTCTGCTGTGTACGATGTCCGAAATTTTGTTGCCTACATTTTCTTCTAGAATTTTTATAGATTCAAGAGTCACATTTAAGTCTTTTATCCATTGTGAGTTTATTCTTGTGTATGGTGTAAGTTAATGGTCTAGTTTCATTTTTTTGCATGTCCAATTTTCCCAACACCATTTATTAAAGAGGCTGTCTTTACTCTATTGTATGTTCTTGCCACCTTTGTCAAATATTAATTGAGCATAATGTCATGGGTCAATTTCCGGGTTCTCTGTTCTGTTCCATGCAATTATATTTCTTTAGAGTTTTTATTACCAGTACTTTAATAGTTACATACACATAATAATTACATTTGCAAACTTTCTAGTTTGCAAAATACTTTTACTACATTACCCTGTTTCATTCTCAGAAGCACTGGGAACAAAAATAAAAAAATATCTTCAACTACTAAAACCTGTGTGCCATTAAAAAAAAAAAAATAGGGCACTGTGTCTTTTTTTTTTTTTTTTTTTTTTATCCTCACCCGAGGACATTTTTCCATTTTTGTTCAGGTAGAGTGGGAGGGAGAGAGAGGAACCGAGAGAGAGAGAGAGAAACATCGATGTGAAAGGAACACATCGAGTGGCTGCCACCCGCACAACCAACCAGGGCCGGGGACAAACAGCAACTGAGGTATGCGCCCTTAGTGGGAACCGAAACCGGGTCTCTCAGGACCGCAGGCCGACGCTCTAACCGCTGAGCCAAACCGGCCAGGGCGAGCACTGTGTCTTATATCTTAAGTTGCAGCCAATAAAATTTTAAATATTAATTGAAATTTAAAATTTTTGAAATAGGAATAACAATTGTTTTATTGAAAAGCTCAATAAGGTAATTTTTACCCTTAATGTAAAAAACAAAGAATTAAATTCAAAGATGTGTCTTAGTAAGATGTTTTCCACAATGACTTGGCAAAACCTACCTAAATAAAAGCTGGAAAACTGAATTCTAGTTCTTATAAACAGGCAATTTTTTAGGAACAACAGAAAAAGGTTATCTCGTCCTCTGCTGTTTATAGAGTAAAAACTTTGCTGTACCCCAATGTTTGTGAACATTCATATATATTATCATGTTAGGGAAAAGAAAGAATTAACCATTTCTCTATATGAGTTTCAACAGAGTAAAGAGACTTTCCCACTAAATGGAGGGACAGTTATGAAGAATATAATACTAAAATTAATTACTGTAGTTAAAAAAAATACTAAAAGGAATAGTAGATTGGGGATTATTGAATTTCAAAAATCATTTTTATTTAACTAAGTACGAATTGGCTACATTGTCCAAATTCATTCAATAATTATTCAAATATTTTATCTAATTTTAGTTTTCAATGTTCATTATCATTAGTTGGGTAACAAAAACATGCATAAAAAGAATCACCCTGGCCAGTTTGACTCAGTGGTTAGAGCGTCAGCCCACGGACCAAAGATTCGCAGGTTCAATTCTAGTCAAGGGCACATACCTTGGTTGTGGTTTGGTGCTGGCCCTAGTCAGGGTCATGCAGGAGGCAACCAATCAATGTGTCTCTCTCACATGGATGTTTTTCTTTCTTTCTCTCTCTCTCTCTCTCTCCCTCTCCCTTCTCCCTTTCCCTCCCTCCCTCCCTCAAACTCTATCTGAAGATAAATGGAAAAATATCCTCGGGTCAGGATTTTTAAAATGAAGAATCAATTACTCTAACCCATAAGCACCTTTTATATATGTCTTATTGATTATATTTATATTTTATTCTGTGTATAAAAAGAAAAGATGAAAACTTACTTTCACTCTCCTGATAGCATAGGTGTGACCAAGAAGTTCAAACACTGGTTGTCGAATATTCCTTAAGTCCCAGCCTCTCAAACTACAATCAACTGCACCTGTTACCAGCAAATTCTGAAAACAATTCAGAGAAAAGTAAACTGTGACATCTTTTCAATTAAACAGTGTCCAGGTTTTTCTACTAGAAAACAATATCTATTTTCTGATAATTATTTAATCAGAACCCAGGAGTCATTCTGGAGAAGTTATATGACAAGTATAGAAATGAGTCAAAATATACATTGGGAAAGCAAAAATTGTATGACTTGAGAGAAAAGGAACTCCATATACTTATGTATGTGATGGAACACTACATACAACAGAAAAAAGCATAGATTTTCCAATCCATCTTTAGTAATATTAATAAGTACATACGGATTAAGAATTATATCTGAGAATGAGCCAGCCTTTCTCTTCAGCATGCTCTGAGGGTTTACCAGGCATGAAACGGCAAAAGGCTTGTTAATTTAGGAATGATTGATTGCAATCTCCTTGAACATGAAACCAGAAATCAACTACAACAAAAACATTCAAAATCAGTCGAACACATGGAGGCTAAATAGCATGTTATGAAACAATGAATGGGTTACCAAAGAAATCAAAGAGGAAATACAAAACTTCCTGGAAACAAATGAAAATGAATACACAACAACCCAAAGTCGATGGGACATAAAGAAAGCAGTCCTGAGAGAGAAGTTCATAGTATTATAGGCCTAGTTCAAGAAACAAGAGAAATTTCTAATTTAGAAATATTTAAAAGAACAAAGGGTATAAATTAAATCTTTATATATATTTTTCTAAATCTAAATCAATCATTGTTCCCCACTGCCACAGGCCATGTCTTAATGTGATAACTAATCATATCTGAAAATCTATGCAAATAATGATAAGTCTCCTTATCTAGGTGGTTTTACAACTTCTGCTTTCTACAGATTCAAGTGAAACCAGAGTTCTTGTCTGAATAGGCCAAGTGCTGGGTCCATACTCGCCCCATCCCACATCAACCAGAGCAATAATTCATTGTCTGAATGTGCTGGACTTCAGCAAAGGTCATTTAAAGATGTTTCAATAATTTTTTTAAAAAAATTTTAACCACTCTCAAGTGTATATTGACATCTATTTTAGAATTCCCAAATATATGGTCCACAATTTCATTTTCCTATATAAAAAATTCATAACAATGAGAATGAATTAGAGTTATCAGCATTGAAATTTTTATTTTGATTAAGTATTACTATTGAATAGGCACTGTATTTTCTTTTAATTGATCTTATTTCTTTTTATTTTAAAAAATCTGCCAATATAATGTTCTCTTAATTTTTTTCTTAAATTTTTTTTTTCTATTGATTTTAGAGAGAGAGGAAAGGAGAGGGAGAGAGAAATAGAAACATTGATGAGTAAGAACATTGACTGATCACCTCCTACATGCCCCCCACTGGGGATTGGGCCCACAACCTGGGCATGTGTCCTGACTGGGAATTGAACCTTTTGTGCATGGGTCAACACTCAACCACTGAGCCACACCAGCCAGGCTCTTAATTTTTATTCATTAATTTAAAACAGGGAAAAATAAGGCATATGTTTTACTTCCTTGTCATAGTCAACAGACCACTTCAGGCACATAAATATATATATACAGTATATCAATGAACACATATTTGATCCATTGCTATTGTTAATTCATGTTTCTGTGGTTAACTGAAGCACTGCAAAAAAGTTACAAATAGACACTGCTCTTATAGAACCATGAAGCTTGGTTAGACTTATAAGGGAAGATAAAACAGAAAATATTAAAAACTGATGTACTATTAAAAATCAATCTACAAATAGTTCAGCAGCCTGATTAGCAAAATGAACAAGAATGGAAAGCAAAAGATGACACAAATTGGCAGGGTTAAGAGCAACAAAGAAAAAAATCACATAAATTATACAGCAGTTTCCTAAACAAACAAATAAGGCTGCACTGTTGAACTTTGAGAATTTCTGTTTCTTATTTTGCCTGTTTTATGTGCACTTAAATCCAATTAATGCTAATGCAGGTCACTCACAATTAGAAATGAAAGGGCTGAATTTAATGGTCCATAAACACTACAGAAGTCCACATGAACAAAGACAAAATAAAATCTAGAACATTTCAACATTAGGAAGGCTCGGCAGATCAGGACAGAGCCAGACAGAGTACCTCATTATATTTACACCAGTCACAAGTCAAAATTTCTGCCTGATGTGCGGGAACCACAATTCTGACTCCTGCAGTCTTTGCATCCCAAATTCTCAGAGTATGGTCACCTGGGGAAAGAGAAAACTTGATCAGTTTCCATCATACCACTGGATGCTCAGTGACATGTACTCATAAAGAAAAATCATGGGAAATACACTGCTATCACAGAGAATGGTGCCATCTGCATATCACATATACGTATATACTATTTTTAATATAATAATACATAAGAACTACTAAAAGTAATGAACTACAAAGAGTAATACACAATGACAATGTTTTTTAGATCAACTCAACTTGGAAAATCCGAATCTCACACTGAGAAAAGCACAGTGCTCACTAAACACACATCCGTGAATTTTTTTCAGGAAAAGGGCCCCAAAATCCTTGCTTCTAATAAATAAAGTGTGTCCCCTGTACCAGTATATTCTACAAGAAACAAAACAGTAACAACTTCACTATTAAATCTAGGCCAAGTCTACCAATCCAGGTTCAATTCCAATCAAGGGCACATACATCAGTTGCAGTTCAGTCCCGACCTTGGTCATGGTCATGTGGGAGGCAACCAATTGATGGGTCTCTCTCACATCACTGTTTCTCTCTCTCTCCCTCTCTCTCCCCCTCTCTTCCTCCCTCTCTCCCACTCTTTCTGGAGATAAATGGAAAAATATCCTCAGGTGAGGATTAAAAAAAAAAGTAAATTACAAACAATTACTGATTATGGGGAAAATTAGCTCATCTTGATGATAAGAATGTGATCTATGTATGATGGCAGTCATGGTCTTGAATTCCATTAGTAGTTGTATGACCCTGAACAAATTATATAATATCTCAGAGAATGATTCCTTGTTGCTAAAAAAGGAACAGAATGCCTACATGCAGGGTTACACAAGAATGTAGTATAATAAAAGTTTCTGCGCCCTGGCCGGTTTGGCTCAGCGGTTAGAGCGTCGGCCTGCGGTCCGGAGAGACCCGGGTTCGGTTCCCGCTAAGGGCACGTACTTCGGTTGCAGTTTGTCCCCGGCCCTGGTTGGTCGTGCGGGTAGCAGCCACTCGATGTGTCCCTTCACGTGGATGTTTCTCTCTCTCTCTCCTTCCTCTCTCTCCCTCCCACTTTATCTGTACAAAAAAATGGAAAAATATCCTCGGGTGAGGATAAAAAAAAAATTTAAAAAAAAAGTTCCTGCAAAGCACCTAGCATGGTCACTAGAAAAGAGTAAATATTTTAACGCATGGTATATAAAAGTGCTAAATTTTAAATTTATTATTTACTTACCTACATGTATCTTCTTATATTTCAAATTCTAAATAAGATCATTTAGCTATTTTAAACAATTTTTTCTGATTTCCTTAGATGTTAAGAAAGATAAGAATTAAATTGTTGGTGATAATGAAATGTAGAGGTTAAGAATGGGGACTTTGGAGTTCCAAAGCTTGGTTCTAATCCAATTCAATTATTTGATAGCTGTTGGTGTTTAATCAGGTTACTGAATTTCCCTGATTCTACTTTTACTTACCTATTATAAAAGATCTTACTTACAAAGTTGAAATAATATAAGGTTTATAAAAATATAAATGATTGTATTTATACTCATACTCATGACTAGAAGTCATTCCTGTTCCTATTAATAATAACATGAAGAGCAAGCTAATATTTTTTTAATATGCTTTTATTGATTTTTTAGAGAGAGAGAAACATCGATGTTAGAGAGAAACATCAATCAGCTGCCTCCTACATGCCCCCCACTGGGGATCGAGCCCAGACTAGGATTGAACAGGGACTTCTCAGTCCATGGGAGGATGCTCGAGCCACACTGGCTCAGTGCAAGCTAATATTTATTGAGTACTTACTATGTGCCAGATGCTGCTCTGAAAATTTTACAGGGTCTGGCAAAAGTAGGTTTACAGTTGTGAGTCGGCAAAACAGTTAATTCTATATTATTATTTGTTAATTACTGTATTATTTTCTTTTTTTTTTTGATATTTTGTTCAGATAGAGTGGGAGAGAGAGAGAGAAACATCGACATGAAAGGGACACATCGAGTGGTTGCCACCCACACGACCCCACCAGGGCCGGGGACAAACTGCAACAGAGGTACATGCCCTTAGCGGGAACCGAACCTGGGTCTCTCCGGACCGCAAGCTGATGCTCTAACCGCTGAGCCAAACTGGCCAGGGCAATTACTGTATTATTTTCCATACAAACAACCATAAACCTACTTTTGCCCCACCCTGTGTATGTGTTAACTTATTTAAAACATCACAAGTGAGATGGAAATTTTGATAATATAAAACATAATTTTTGTAGTAATTTACAAAGGAGGAAACTGAAGTACATGGAGATGAAACAAATCACTCAAGATAGCAGGCAGTGGAATCAGGACTTGGAACCAGAATCCAGGCAGTCTGGTTCCCCAGCCTGTGTGTCTTCAACTAGACTAACGTGCCTCCTAACGTTGCTACAGAAGTGCCATATAATCAATGTTGGCCGATTCTTGAGGAAGTATTCTTTTTATTTACATATTAATTGTTTCTATAAATTGGGAGGGGGCATTTAAACACATACACACAACACACACAAATGCATATATGACATCTGTCATATTTGCCCCACAGCTACTTTAGAAATAAAATTTAAAACATTGCAGAGAATGTTGAAACCTCTGTTGTATTTCCAATTGCATGCCCCATCTCCTTGCCCAGAGGCTACCAAATCATGGATTTCGTACACATCCCTTTGTCTGTGTTTGTGTAATACTTTTACTACATTTTTATGGCTCCAAAAATACGTACTATGGCTTTGTGTGTGAGATTTTTTAAATTTTACTTAAAAACACCACCCTACTATTTTACAGAAGGTTAAAAATCACTCTGATAGAAGAGAGTAACATTTTTGGAGCCAGCTAAGGACAATATGGATAAGAAGGAATGATAAGTCTGAAAGAGCCAAACAAAAACTGTTCAGAATTGGTACAGATTAGAGTTTCAAATATTTCAGAGGCCCTAATTATAATCACTGCCTGTGATATAGCCACCAGTTAATATAATTTGGTTCAGAATTCCAAATAGCTTTGATAAAAGGATCCTTCATTATTTTCTCTAGTCTTCAGAGTATAGTAAGTCCTCACTTAAAATCATAGATAAGTTCTGAGATTTTTTAAGCAAAACAACTTAAAATGAAATCAATTTTACCATAAGCTAATTGATATAAACAAGACTTGAGATCCTACAGCATCTCGTCAACGCTATAACGAACTGATACTGAATAAACCTTTATCTGAGGATCTGCTGTATACAGTAGGGTGGTGTGGATGTCTATGTTTGGTCTGTCCAGCAACACTCTTCTAGAAACAGCATCTGCTTCTTGCCATGTGATTCCAGAAAGACCTATGGTTCACACAGTTGACAAGCTGCCAGTGGCAAGTCTGCAACTGATAAGAAAAGCTGACCTGATAGATCCAAGTAAAACCAGTCATAGTATCTTACTACTCCCTGCCCTGACTACAGTTGACAGGTCGAAGGTAGGTACCTGGAATTTTTCTGAACTCTAACGTTAAAATAATGCCAGTCCCTCTCTAATAAAATTTACAGCTTATAAAATAGAGGAGTTGCTGGTGGCTATGTGTCTCATTTTAAACCCAGCCTGCAGAGTCAAGTCAATAAGCAGAGAAAAGTCCAGATTACACACAGAAAATGTGTCCTCAGAACATTCAAGCATCCCTTCCCTTTCTGTAGTTGCATTTTTTTTTTTTAATCCTCATCAGAGGACATTTTTCCATTTTTTTTGTTCAGATAGAGTGGGAGGGAAAGAGAGAGAGAAACATCGACGTGAAAGGGACACACCGAGTGGCCGCCACCCGCACAACCCAACCAGGACCAGGGACAAACTGCAACCAAGGTACATGTGGGAACTGAACTCGGGTCTCTCTGAATCGCAGGCCTGCTGAGCCAAACCGGCCAGGGCTCTATAGCTGCTTTTCAATAAATTCTACAAAGACCTCAACTAGTTCAAGTTCTACCACCTACAGGCAAAGGAGATCCCCTATCATGTTGGAGGAAGTAATGAAGTTCATTTGCAGCTTCAATCTCTAAAAAGCCTAGCCTTAGACAAAAACACTTGATTCAGCACAAGGCTTCCCCTAAAACACACAAAGTGCCTAAATGGTGTACACCAGTTTTCAAAAATCTATATTTAATATTAGGGCTGAAACTATAAAGTCTGCTATAGCTATAACTAAAGCATTATTTAAAGTTCAGTGAACTTGTGATCACCCTATTACATGGGTATATAAATGATTTAAAGCGCCAAAACATCACAATGAATGTTGACTAGGATTAAGAAGTAACTGTTATTCCAGCAACAATATGGATGAATCCCCAAAATAACGTTGAGGAAAAAAAAAACAAAAAAAAAACCAGACACAAAAGTATAAAAACAGGCAACATTAATCTATGCTATTAGAAGGCAGCACAATGGTCACCCTAGGGCTTTGGGGGCGGTAATGACTGAAAGGATGTGAGGAAGGCCTCTGGAAACATTCTGTTTCTTGATCTGGTTGCTGGTACACAGATGTGATCATTGTAAAACTTTATCGCCTCAAACACTTAAGATTATGTACTGTTCTGTATGTGTATTATACTCCAATAAAAGATCAAACAAAACAACAGCAAAGGCTGGGTGGTGGGTTATTCTAAAGTTTTCTGGGATGATGGTTTGGGTCCTCACTATCATACTCAAGAAACATTCCTTTTTAATTCGTTTGAATTTATTTTAATTCCTTTCCATTAAATACATGCTCACACACACATATAGATGCATGCATATGAAACAATTCACTTATTTCAAGTACCGTAACAGTAAAAATAGAAAGCTTTTATCCTTTATCCTCCTCCCACAGGGGTTAGCTTGATTGCTGCACAAGCATCTGTGTTTCTAATGTTTTGAAGTATCCCCTTGGAATAATAACACACATTTCTCTTAAATACCCAGTTCAATTGGACAGATATTATGACTGTGTATATACATCTATTATAGACCCATAATTTTTAAAAAATTATCTTTATCAAT